ATTTAAAAAAGAAAAAAAAATAAAAAATAAAAGCACTCACATGCCAAAACCACACCCCAAACGGAAGAAGTGACACAGTTTCTCTGTGTAGGAATGATCTGTATCAACAAATAGTCCTCCATCTGCAGAAGCATTATGCTTTCTTCAAGTAGTTGGTCGAAGAAAATAGCAGGCTTCAACTGTGCTGCCTAAACATGGGTGATAGCCACAACTGAGAATTTTCAAAGCTATTAAAAAGCAATAAATCCATGTTAAACTGTCAGGTATGGGCCAGCCATGGCCCAAAAGAATTTCATCTGAAAGCCAGCAGGACATTAGCTAAGAGTTCTCACAATACCCCATGGGATTTAACAGTACCAGTTAACTCTGTTTAGGTGCATGAATCAAGTTTTTAGTGCCTGCTATACTAATTAATGCTTTAATTTTATAGACAGAGAAGAAAAAATCAAGCTATCATGCTTGGTGTTGTACAATAATTTCAGTTCAGAGCTGGTCAGGCGGCAGGAAGCCTTGCCTTGCTAGAGAGAAAGCATGAGGGTAGAATTGTGAAACTTTTACATAACTTTAGCAGAGAATGCAGGCAACAGCATAGAGGTTCAGCCTACAAAGAGCAGCAGAGACAGAAGGAAGGACGAACAAAGTGGAAGAAAGCAGTAGCACAAGAAGTGCTAATGAAGATGATGGAAGATCAAGTAGGGCAGAAGGCAACATTGCAATGAATAGGTGAGGAGCATGTCCAAGAGTCAAGCTAATAGTACTTAAGCACTTAAATCAAAAGGAACAGTTAATCACTAGCGCTCACAGCAAGTCAGCTGGCTAACATAACAACATCTCAACACATTTTCTCTGGCCTGCAATGACTCACACTGCATGAGGCAGCAGCAGTTCTCTCTCACCGAAATGTTCACTGTCAACCATCAGGGAATGGAACAGAGGTACATGAGTTTCTCTTAAAAATCAGAATGGAAACATTCCCCTGCTAAATTTCTTCATTCTAATGCCTGAGTTATTTTCTACCTCATAAGAAAGAGATTAAATTCTTCAGTGACATACTTTAAAAACTGAATCTTCCAAAAATACTGCATGAGCAAATGTTAATGGTCAAATCTAGTCTTCCATTGTGCAGCATGTTCACTAAATCCCTTGGAAAATCATTTTCTGAAACCTTGCATTCACAATATTAAAGTGTTTTATGCAGCATAATGAAAAAAACCATAAAATTTTTGTATGAAGTAGGTAATTAATACCTCAACTGCAACTGTAAAGGAAAAAAAATCCCACCAAACAATAACCATATAAAATATATCAGATGGAACTACCAAGTTTACTATACAGCAAATCTAGAGAAAAATACTTTCAGAAGTCGGAAAATATATTTCACTTAGGGGTGTTGGTGGAGGAGAGGCTGGACATGAGCCAATCTGGGCTGTATCAAAAGCAGTGTGACCAGTAGGGTGAGGGAGGGGGGGGGATTCTGTCTCTCTACTCCATGCTGCTGTGACCCCTCATGAAGTGGAGTCTTGGTTGGAAAAGCCAGTCAGCCCCTCCACCTCAAACCATTTACAACTAAAGAATCACAGCTGTCCACATAGCAAGAGGGCTTGATTAGATTTTCATTCCCCATAGTGTGACTCTGACCTTTGAAGCTTCTCTTTTAAGGTGGTTTTTCTGTTTGTTTGGGTTTTTTTTTTTTCTTTTTATATTCCTAAGCTCTGTGCACTTCAAAACATTAACTGGTCAGGGCTTCAGGGGGAAAAATTCAAGACCTCTCCAGTCTAAAGACCCTCATAAGGAAAAGCTCTATGCATACAAAGCAGTTTTTTGTGCAATGCAAACAGGATTAAAAACAACTATGTGATATAAATACAGAAATATGTTATATTCAGTAGCCATAAGAATATAATTAAAAATCCTTCTGCATACCTTTTTAGATTAAATAAAATTCCATAGTTTATCCAGCACCACTTTAACCAATGTTTACAATGACAGTATTATAGTCTTGGGAAAATCTAGGTTTTGTTTAAAAGACACGATTTATTTTTCATAAATGAAATTCATATCAAAATTATTGGTTTAAAACCTTACACAAGCACCTTCCAGTTCAGAGTATGAACTACAGAGTAGAAAAAAAAGCTACATGCTATGTAGAACTTTTAACTGCGGAAATTGTTAATTCCAGTCAGAGAAATTCCCAATTCACATTCATTACCAGAATTCATATCAATAGGAAAGCAAACCTACTTCTCCAGTGCATTCAGAAGGCAGTACAGATCATATAAGATGTAAAAAACCTTAGCCACAGCCATCTGATTGCATGCAAGCACAGCAAGAAAGCCTGGTGACCACCAGTCAGGTAGTCCAGAGCAACAAGAGGAATTGGTTCCTGTAGAGATCACTGGCTGATGTATTACAAACTCAACTAAGGAGCACTCATTTCAAATGCCTTGGAAATGGACCCCAATGACTCAGAAGAGAAAAAACGAACAGAGATCTTTCTGATACATCTAAAGAGCCTAAATGTCCTCAGATACTCCTACCATATAGAGAGCTCAAAAGGATGACCACACAGATGACAAAGTGCTTGGCAGGTGGCAGGTCCCTTGTCCAGGGAGAATCCCCTGTAGTTCCAACTCTAACACACAGCCCCACAGACAGCACTGACACCAAAAATGTCTCACCCAATAGCCAGTACAGCACCTCCAAAGTCAACTGGTCAGTATTCCAACAAAATTATTTTGTAAACATAAACTGTACTTTCAACAAAAATAATTACATTTGGTTAAGTTTCTTCTTGTTAGAACTGAAAAGTACGTGAAACTTTTTTTTTAAATCTGTTTGAAACAGAACATTTTCCATAAAACTGTTGACATTAAAAAGCTTTCCAAAGTACATTCCTCATTTTTCACTCCCACTTTCACATTTAGAAGTGAAATTAAAGACTTCTGAAATGCCCTGCTAAAGAAAACATGCTCATTTTTCTTAAAACCGTAATAAAGTACTCAATCCTTTGCAGTGCTGACAGCAGTAAATCAGATGAGTCCTAAGCTTTTGGAGAGCCCAGGTGCATTTTTAGTACCAACATATCTACCTGATGCACATGCTTTTTCAATTGCTGTCATTAATGCTGTTTTGTCTTTTCAGTTGGGAAATTCTTCAATACTACTGCAAAATTCCTATCATAAACACATTAAATTATTACCATTTTTAGTCCTTCAATTCATCCATCAGACTTCTGTCCCTAACCTTCTAAACTTTGATTTTTTTCACAAGTTTAAAGCAAAAATAAAAATTCAGCATTTTTTCAGGTTAAAGACACCAGCGCATGCTTAAACATAGTAATCAGTGTTTGGTGGAACTGGAACAAATATACCTGTATTAATATGCAAATAAAATTCTTAAAAATATTTACATAACTGAGTTAAGAAATTTTTCTTCCTATATTCACATTAAATAAATTCAACCTTACTATATTATAAAAAATTATTCTCTATAGAAATTATTTTCTTGTACCACTACTGAATGGCTAAAGTCCTCACATATTTCCTACTAACAATTTTACTGCAAATATTTGATGAAAAAATACAACTTTACTTGTGACTGTTCTTCCTGTTCTGTTCCAAAAAGATCCAAACTGGAATATATTCACTTACAATTAGATATTTTTAAAAGATATGCCACAGCACAAAGACAATGGATATAGCATGTTGGTTTTACAGACCATATGCTGCAGTTCTGAAAGATACTCTGAAGCAGATACAGTTACTAGCACTGCTGCCAGCTGGCATTCTCAATAAACTACCTGAAGTAATGATGTTTGGATGTTTAGATGACCTTTAAGATCCCTTCCAACCAAAACCATTCTATGTTCATCTTTTCTATTCAACAAGTTCTTGATTATGTTTTCTCCCTCTGAATTTATGCCCCCTGTAAGCCTAGTACTTCCTTTACAAAGCATTATTAATATGTTTGAAAACATAAATGAAAGTATACACAGAAAGTTCGTGTATACTTAAATAGGCCTTATGCCTGTAACCTGTTATTAAAAGACACCAAGAAATAAATGCCACAACATACTTATAAAAATATTCATGCAATACCCTCATCTAGAAACATCAATTTCATTATCTATCTACTACACCATTAGCTGTAAGTCCAATAAACCTACGCAGCAGGTAAGGGATTTAATGAAATAAACCCTGACTTCCTGGGAGGAACACCTGTGGTTCCAACTCTAATACTTCTGATCAAATACATGCTCTCTTCCTGCTGCTGAGCAACAGGCTCTTCTGAGTCCTTATCAAACATGCTGTAAAGGAGGGAGGGTGTAATACTGTGGAAAGTATTTAAACGAGTAGGAGACCAATTGATTGTGGTGAAAGAGAGGATGAGAAGAAGCTATTTTTTAAAAATAATAGAAATGTATGGGGTTTACATTTAAAAGATCACAGTAAAACAAAATCACAGCACTTTTTTCAACAAACAACAAGACAATAAGCTTCTCTACTAATCATCATTAATAAGCCATATAAGCCATATAACCCATAAAATCAAAAAAGAAAAAAAACAAGCCCACAGTCCTGCACTGCTACAGGTTGCCAGCTTCCACAAATGTTTTCACTTCTGTTCCCCATTTAAGGCTGAGGCACCAAGGTACAAGTATTACAGAACAAACATCTTCCAGTGCCTACCTCATAGGAGTAAGGACCAAAACTGACAACATCAAAAAAACAAAGAAAAACCCAGCCCACTTATCAGTGAAAGGTCTCAGGTTCTCTACCCATTGTCTAACAAATGTAAATACTGACTGCTTCCTGCTCCTTTCATTTCCAGGTTGGAGAAAGCATATTTTGGCTTCCCTTCCTCCACAAGGAAAAATTTCTTACTTACTGATCCTCCTAAATTAACCCAAACATTTAACTTGAAATCCAATACATTACATTCCTTTAGCTGACTTAATCCCTCATTTCTGGGTTAACTTCACATTCTTTGGGAAATCTTACCCAATTTTGGCAGGGAATAGGGCACTTTAAAATAATCTTCATAAAACTCAATGAGTCTCCTTGTAATATTTAGAGCATAGTCCCCTGATCCTCTTCGGATTGCATCAGGCCTTGCATATAACCGTACCTGTTAAAAAACAAAGCAAAAGTCCAATTTCAGCATCTGCCTTTTAAACCTATCCTACCAGAAGACGTGAATTAATTACCCTACAGTTGCTATGAGGTGGCAGGACTATTCCCTTAAAGCCACATATGATTGTCATACATTTGTCAAGTCATATCATAGTTGAAAACCAGAACTACCACAATTAAAGTTACAAAGTTCAGAAGTCACAATCTCCTACTTATTTGTGTTGCCAAGTAAAAAACTTGCACTCCTTGTATCAAAATAAATATTCGAAGAAAATACATGTGTTTGTTAGAGATATGATGGAAGAGTGGATTAGTATAATGGTTCTCTGCCTACACTGAATGTAGGCAGGATGCAGTGACTCAGTAGGAGAGAAGTTCATGGTTTGTTAAAGGCACATTATATCAAGCCCTGAAAATATTAGTAGACTGTGAAGAAAGAAAATAATCGTTCTCTTTTCTCCTCTCCGGCAGTGACACCGTTACCCTCGATGAGCTATGGGAAGACTGCAAAAACGACCATTTCTGAGCTCATTCATGTACACAAACAATTAACATTCCTGAAACCTCCATGACTGCTTCAGGCTTCTGTTTCCAGAAAGCAGTAAATTAAAGCTGTTTGTATAAGCCACAGGCTGCTCTGTGCAGTACAACACAGCTCACACATTTTAATACCTGGAGTGAACCAAGTGAACAGAACTCACCTTCATAATTCAGCATTCAAGTATGACCCTGATTAGGGAGGTAGCAGAAATTACTGCCAGGTTATTACTTCTTCCTTGTCCTTACAGTCTGTAGCAATTCCTTCATGCAAAGATAACACAGAGCCTACAACTGCTAATCAAGATGGGAACAGAAAGGAGAACCACTTTTTGTTCTCTTTCCTCATACCGTGCCTGATGGAAGCAGCGTGTCCTTTGTCTCTAGTGACTGTAACAGAAGGTCTCTCCCCACAGTTCATAATGACCTGATGTAAATGAGACTCTCCTAAAGGTCAATTCTAATAATAATATCTGACTCGCCAGTACTTTCTGTGGTAGGATTAAATCCCAGCCAGGGCTCCCAAGGAAAGCAGTAGTGCAGAAATCAGAGAGTATCAATGCAAACATGAAGGAGAAATATCAGCTTTGGAATGTTTCTAAATGCTCTACTCTGGATTAAGAAAAGCCGATGGGATTTTTGGCTTCAGTGAAAGTATTACCAAGTATTGCTTTACTGCTCTTTTCCTGAAGCAGTTCAGCTATCCAAGTGGAAACCAGATATCAAGCCTAAGTACAGTGTACCTTCAATTCTCTTTAAACCTACTGTCTCTTGAATTTCAGTATGGAGACACATTACTTGCTTCATTACAATGTCTATCTTCATATTTAATCTTTGTGTTGTATTAGACTCAGTGTACAATCAACCATACATAGTTATCATTCATAATGTAAAATAGGTAATGGTGTAACCTGATGAGATATGTAATAAAGCAGACTTCTTATAATCACTACCTGAAAGCACATAGATCATCATCTGCACTCCTCCAAATACTATTTTTATTTATTGCTTCCTTTCAAAGTTAACAGTAATGTGTACATTGAAATGTTCCCTTATCTACTAAACTAAATACAGGTTTTAAAACAAAACATGTATTAACCACAGAGTTTATGGAAGGATGTTAAGAATCACAATTAGATTTGTGATGAACACTGTTTTGTATCATCAAACCTTTATACACAATTCTGCATAATTGCTTTACTGGCACAGTTGACTGTATCAGCAAATTAGGGAAAAAAAGAGTCAACCAAGTATGCAAAAAATCATTCAATTTGACAGTGACCAAATCTGTCCATAATAAGAAAGAGGACAACAGAAAGGAAGAAAATAATAAGGAAATAGAAGAAAAATCAAGGTTCAACTTATTGCATGACAATGAATGTCTCCTGGCAAATATAGAAAAGGCATTTTATGGTGTCTGACATGGAGCCAAAGTACAAAAGCTGCAATGCTGCAAACTCTCATTTGTCTCCTGCCTAATGCTGAATGTAGTTTTATTTTGCCCATAAAGTTTCCCTATGTGCCCCTCTACCTGCCCAGAATAGCTCTGGACTGCCAGGCCTCCATGGCTCACACCAAGGTCATCTGTAAGCTGGAACACAGTTCAGAAACTACCCACACCTTTGTCCAGGTGTCTCAGGGGCTTTGAGGCAATAGATATTGTCAAAGCAGTCAACCATCTTCAAACACTGGGTCTTGCTTCTGCCTTTCACCCAGCAACCACTGAGCATGAAATGTATGGAGAACCTTGGACTACAGACCTACCCCAGCCTCAGAAATTCCCTCTTGGTCAGCAGAGGGCTACCACAGGGAACAGTCTGTGACACTCTGCCTACCTGGCTAGCTGCTTTGGATGGCACATTCTGGTCACATTAGGTGCCATTCACAAAGTGAGGAGCTTGGTCCAGAATTCAGTCTAAAGGTTGGCACCTCTAAGTTTGAAACTGAAGCCTCTAACTCACACTGATGTTTCTTTAATGTGTTTGGGCTTATTTTGACCATATCTTACTTCCAAAGCCATCAAATAGGGACTATATTATTTCCTTAGTTTATAAGAAGATTTTCAGTCAAAAGTAATAAAGTTTTTATATTCTGCTCCAAAGAGGAACTTAAGTAAAACAGAATGACAATTAAGACATGAGATTTGTTTCGAATAATTTGTTTGCTTCCTACTTTCATTTCAAAAGACAGGTAGGTAGTGTTACTTTAAAACTGCATTGGACTGAACAACAATGCCGAATTTTTATTTATTTTCCCACAGGCTGTTTGACCACTGTCCTAAGATTTTGATTTTACAGTAATTTAAATAAGAGAAAAAACTAAGTTTTGTGCAGGGTCAGCCTAAATATATAACTACAAAAGACAAACGGGTTTCCAGTGTAAGTGCATTCGTCACTCACCACAATGGCACCTACTGCCCTGCAAATGTTATTAATGCTCTTCTTCATAATCTTTGCAAGATTAGGTTAGACTATTATTTTCATGTAAGAAAGTGGAGACCAAAGAGAGACTAAGTAATTCTGGGTGCCTATCTTGACACCTCTCAATGTCAAGTCTATTTAACAGTTTTATTGCACTTACTTAAAGCACTGTTCCTATTATATCTTACTGCAGTGGTGAACACTTTATCAAAGTTTTGGCCACAGGTGCCTTAGTTTGGGCATTCATGAAATCAGCAATACATGATTAATGACTAAATGAGACTCTTCAGTTTATGTTATTTACTTGGCATCCCACAGCAACTCTGGTGGCAGAGGCAGGGAGGGAATTCAAAGCAGGCATTCATCCTTGTGACCACTTAACAACCTGCACCAAGCACCTTCCACATCTGGGAATTAATAAGGTAGGTTCTGTTTGGACAACAGGTATATGAACAGAACACTGTTGGTCTTCTGATGCAGTCAGAAGCATCCACTGAAAAATATCAGAAAAATGTTATGAAGAATCATATTCGTAATGACACTGCAATAATACCAACAAATATAATAAAGTTTACACAGTTAACCTAAATTCTGAGGGTTTTTCTTAGTTCTCTTACATCTACATTGGCAACCACTACCAATTTTTCAACAGGACTTTTGACTACAAAGAAGAAAAACCCAGCCCTCTCATTTCTCCCTCAAATTGAACCACACTGACTGTCTCCTTCCTATCACAAGTTTGAGCAACTAGGTTTGTGCCTGCAGCCCTACAAACCAGATCTCCTCTATAAGATACTTGTTAATAACTCTGAAAGTTATTAGACATTCTAAATGAAATCTCGGCAACATATATTTTCTCATTCTTTTCTAAAGTGGGCAAAAATGTGAGTTGTTTCCCCTTGTTTGCCTTCCAGAGGCCTGGAGTAGTTTCATAAGAACTTTAAATAAACTCAATATTCAGCCACACTCAGACAACATTTAAAAAAAAAATATCATTGTGAAGTATTATTTTAAAAATATTAGTAACCTTACTCAGGTTCTTAGAATTATTTTGGCAGCATTACCAGAAAAAGTACTAAAATATTCCTGAAACTTGTATGGTAAATTCCTTGTATTTGTTATAAGTGATCAACAGCCTACTCCTCTATAGTTAGTCAAAATTATTTGCTATAGAACAGCATACTTTTACAAACAATTTGTAAATATTGCAACGTTTTCTCTAGTCTGTCTCAGTATTTCAGCATCTGCTACACAAAATAAGTTGAAGAAATTTTAAAAATATTGGTAATACCAGGTTACCAGAACAGATAAATGTGGTTGTAAAATAAAAACTGTTTCCCACAGAGAGTCATGATATATGCTAAGAAATGTGCAACATACTTAAAACAAATCTCATCTAACTGCAGTCAGGTTATTACAGAGCATGAGAAAAATCTTCCTATTTACAACAGGTAAAAATTATCCATCAAAAAGAAAGCTAGCACTTGAAAAGAAAAGAGAGATTTTCTTGTCTTATTACCTCAGAGCACTTCCAAAAACTGTGAACTAGTAACTATCTACACTGGGTAAAATTCTGACAAGTACAACTCTAGACAGCAACACACAACTTAATTTCCAGAGAATAGCAGGTTCACCAAAATTGTTTTTGTTGTACCAAAGACTAGTGATAATTTTACCATGTAAAAAAACAGAGGAACAGAATAAAAAGAAGTAGAACTGTTCTGTTTTGAAATTTTAAAATCACTACTTTTCTCTTTTTCTTTTTTTTTCTTTTTTTTGCATTAAAAGTTAAGTGAAAAGGAGCAGAGGATTAAACGGATGACAAATGGTAAGGAAAAACCTGCAGTAATTTTTTCACACTATGTGAAATACTTTGGGTCAAACCAAAGGGTTTGTACAGTTCTGTAGGTAGAAAGAATATGGAATACATTCAGCATTTTGATCACAGCAACAAAAAGGGAAAATCCATTATTTACATGTGTCTAATTGCAGAAAGACTGTGTTCCAACATTCTCCCATACATGAATTTACTACAGAT